ATTTTACTATGATAACCGTAGTTTGACTTCTAAACAAAAGTTTTCGGCACGGAATTTTAGGTATATGGATATAACTAAATATCGAATATAAAGTAAATTAAAATCTGCACTTAATCTCTTTCGATTCGGTGATCGGCATAACCTGTCACAGATTCAGTACGTGCTTAAAAATAAACGAGTGATAATGATTAGTTTACAATCCTGACATTGTTGCTTCAAAAATTTTTTACCATCTATATTAAAGATAACGAATAAGAACAGGAGAATAGTGAAAGTTTGCTAACCGAAATTCAATAAATATAAAGAAATTTGATTCTTATAAAGCATCAGATAGTAAACAAAGATTTAATAAGGTCATTAATGCTGATAATACGTATATTAAATCTTAGCAAATATGATTTCATGGGCATTGAATTGAAATTGACAAACCTAAAGCAATCAAATATTTCCAAAAATTTGCTACGTTGGGCATGCTAAAAAATTATCTGCCGTAGGATGAAAATGAGGTCGGGATTGAAAATGATGAAAATAAAACATTCGTTAATTAACTAAAATGTGCTCGTTATATAGAGCATTTTGATGGATTATATATTGTTTGTAATCTTATATAAAGGGAATTGGTTGAAAAGTATGAATAGAAAGGATTTATTTTTTTCAAAAATCTGTAGAAGACACTCGTTGGTTAATATATAGTGTTGAATATTAATAGAATTAATGTTGATAAGGTAAAGCTTTCATTTATTTTCAAAGGTCAGCTAAAATTGAACATATAATAATGGATTTTGTTATGTTGAAAAGTATGAGCATGTAGCACATACTTTCAAAAATCACTTGAAAATGATGATGCATTTATTTATTATTAAAAATCCGCTAATGTGAACAGTGTTTCCATAGCTTAAAACATTCTTTTAATACTCAAAATATGCAGACATAAAGATGTAATAGAATATTTAATGTTGGTTTGGTTATTATTAGGAGAGTTGAAAAGGGATAAAAATAAGACATTGTCAAAAACCTGCATTTATCATAGTGGAATTAATGTTGGTTTTTCTAAAATTTCTAATTTTAAAATTTTTATATTTTAAATTTTTATATTTTTAATTTCTAAAATTTTTGAGTTAAATTGTAAATTTTGAAATATTGAATTTTTAAATCTAAATTTTTGAAGTTTAAACTTTAAAATTTTGAACTTTTTAAACTTTAAAATTTTGAACTTTTTAAAATTTCCGATTTTTAGACTTAAATTTCTAAATTATAAATTTCTAAATTTTTAAGCTTATAATTTTTAATTTTTTTTAAAATTTTAAAAAATTACATTATTGGTCCAAATAAAAATGCACCGTAAATTTTGTTATGTGTAATCTTATTTGGATGCGCAGCTTTTTTTACATCTCATCAGGAGCAATAAGTATTAAATTTTCAGATAATTCATGATAAAATTTAAATTCTTAGATACAGCGCATTTTTAAAGATTTAATTTACAATTGAAGTCTATTTCGACTATAGACGGCATAAAAGTGGGCCGATGAATCGATTATTAATGCCAAGAATTAATGCATTAATTATGATCGACACAATTGGCGCAGCAAACCTGAAAAAATCAAATTCATACCTTATCGTTATCTTGTAATACATATGATTAAGTAACACTAATTTCCCAAATCAGATTTTTATTTAACACTAATTTCGAACTTTAATCTTTTTTTTTTTTAAAGATGATTCCAAGTCAACAAAGACGACTGACATTTTACGAAGATGCGCAAAAAGTAATAATAAAACAAAATCCATGGATAAAATTTATTAACGTTATACTTGCGCTCATAATTTTTATACTTTTTACTGCCTATGGTACAGTATTAACGCATATTTATTATATACTCGAGTAAATTAATTTGAAAATAATTATAGTCATGTATGTGTAGATTTTAATGCAATTGGAGTATTGAATAAGGAAAGCGAGAAACTAGTTAACTCAAGCCAACGTTTAAAATACAATGATAATCAGTTAGTTTTATTTTCTTTCTTATTTATTTGCAATTTACATAAAACTAATATTGGATACTAATAAATACGTACGACTCCTTTTTTTTTTTTTACAGTGGATTAGAAATTATCGGATGGTGCTGCTGGAGTATATATTTACATGTTTTATGTTTTTATATTATACGGTTTTTTATTAGCCCACCTTGGAAAAATACCGAAAATTTTTATTATGTCAAACCTGGAAAATGGCGAACTTTAATAAAATTTCTATTAATTGACATGTAATTATAATTAATATTTATGTGTATTTTTTTCATCATAAATGAAACTATATCGAGTGATAAATAATATGAACTTTTTTTTATTATAGATTACTGTCTTGCTTGAATATTCCACTTTCATATCCATATTTAAAAGAATCGATAACCTCATGTAATATCGAATCTTTAGACTCAGCGGAATATGAATGGTGTACTATCCGTACAAAACTTGTTATATTAGCATGGTTATCGATATTTATTTGGTTTTTGGTGTATCTAATTTATCTCACTCTTATATTCGTAATTTTATGTGAAAAGGTTTATGTGATTTTAAAGTCTTGGGTTATTTATCAGTATCAATATATGAAAGGATTATACTTAATATGGATACGCAAAGAAAAGTTGAAAAAGCAAAGTGAAATAGAAATCGAAGAGTCTAAAGATTTAATTAGTAAGAGTTTTGAAGATAATTCTGGTGAGAATGCTAAATACGATATTAATGAGGCTGATGGATTTGAAATAGTTACTACTAAATAATATATTTATGTGTTAAACTTTAGGAAATATATATTGAATGTTACAGTATTTTAGAGTTCATTTCACTTCTCAATTAAGAGAAACATTATTATATTGTTTTTGTAAAAAAAAATATCGTTTTATCAAACAGTATAAATAAACAGAATTAGACATATCATAATGTTTATACATTGAAGTATGAAGTATTGTGCAATCGTAAAGACTTCAATTATTCGGTGCAAATACTGTAGTGATAAATTATTTCCGAACAGAGCGGAGGAACTTAAGCCAAGATACTATTAAAAATTTTTTCAATATAGGTTGTTCTAGAGAGGTGTAAATAAAGATCTTTAGTGTTCAAAATCGAGTCGCATCAATTATTTAGTAGTATACGACACGTTTTAAATTTAATTTTTAACCACAGCAATTGATTTACAAGATACTAAACTTTTGGTTGCAAACTACAAAGCTTTGGAACAAAGCGGATCACGTTTCCTAGTAACTACTACATGGTCATTGCTGCTTTATTACCGCCAAAGATAATAACGTCCAAGTACTCTTCATCATTAGAGTTGTTTAATTGCACCAATTAAACTAAATTAAACCAAATGTTCAATATTTCAACAGAAATCCTTGCAAACTCAGATTCCTAATCATTTGTCGGATTATATATTCATTCTTTTTTTATGTCTGGGTAAGTAGAGTAGGGGAGATAGAACAAGTAATAGTGATGCAAAACAATGGGATACCTTTCAATCAGATTGACGATTTTGTCGTATGAACTTTTCAAAATAACTTCCGCAATTATTAACAAAAATTAATTCATAAAATTTCGTCTTATTAAACTAATATCTGACCTACATGATTGATATGGTTGGTTTAGCACACCCGCATGATCGTTTATTGAGGTCAATCCTAAATTTATGTGTAAAGTAACACACTCTATTGAAATTTCATGTGATGAGTCCGATAATTAATTACAGGTTATTCCTAACCTTTTAAAACACAATGGCCAAATGAGTTAGAACATAAGTAGGTGGACCAAATCTAAAAAAAAGCAATTATATATCTCTTTCAAAGAAATACATAAATAAAGAATGATGAAACTTCTCTAGCCTTTTTATTTATTAATAATTTTGATTGATTCGGACATTCCTTTTGACGTTGATATTATTTATTCGCTTAAGTGAGATATTGTTAATAAATCATTATTATTACTGAATTATAAATCTCTTTCGAACATGTAAAGTTGATTTTTCATTTTGTATTATCCGACCGACCGGCCGACCCATTTTTTTAAAGTCTCAATTGTGCCATTCATTCTATTTTTGCTATCAATTTTAGCCGGTGTCGCCCGATGATACCTTACTTTCCCAGAATTATCCGTTAGAACCGATTGAAAAATCGAAATTTCAGATTCCGTGTAATACAAAACGAAAAATTAACTGTGCGTAGCCTTAGATGCGAATATGAGTCTATTAATTTACAATAGATTTGGAAAAAAAAAATCCGATCGACCGATCCAATTTTTAGATTCCATGTAATGTAAAACAAAAAAATAATTTTACGTGGCCTCGTATCGATATTTAAATCCTTTTTTGTCTTAATTATTATCAGTTAAACTCGAATATTAACGATAATTGGGACGATTGAAGAAAGAGATTTGTAATATACGATCTATAAGATAAATTATAAATCTTTCCTATCGTTCATATTCGTTATTATGAAAAAAGTCTATTTATACGTAGCTTTTTACACAACACAGATTTCTATACCTTGAGATGTTACCCGTTGCAACATTCATTTATCAATTCTGTGTTGACACCTCACACATCATTTTGAGGTTTTACGTGCGTGTGTAGGTATGAACTATACCTACCTAAAATACATACATAATTATTCTTGTTCATAAGCTACCACCCATGTAATTATCCATGTACTACATTTGTTCTCGGTTTAATAATTCAACTCGATTTTCGTAGAAAGGAAATAAGTTCTGAACAAGGGTTTAAATGTTTTACACTCCATCCTTCTACACTCCGGTAATTGTTGTTTACTCTCTTAGAATCAATCAATTCGATCCATCCTTACTAAACTCAATTTACCATCAACATATTAATACTAATACATAAAAATCGTTAGTTTCCGAATTGTGCTGATTTGCTAATTTTCAAAGATAACTGATGTTAATCCTTAACTTTATTGGTCATTTCATTATAAATGTCCTACATTACAGTATTTATCAAATATTTTGTACACTACAGCACCAGAGATGCAAACGCCTTAAGTCACATGCACATGCACAATCAAAATACCTAACCGGTTTCTAATCAAGATTCTTGCATTACATTCTATATATGCAAAATTAGTTTATCCTTTTTTAGTTATTCTTTACGCTTAAACAATTTGCTAACTCTGGATAAAGTACAATCTTATCTATCATTTAATTATATTAACATAATATAAATATATACGTATGTATATTTATAAAATTATTCATTAATGAATAATGTTGATTCCACGTCAACCAAGGCAACTTTCAATCTATGATATTTCTCGAAACATTATATGCGAACTAAATCCGTGGATACAATCTATTAACTATATAATTGCGCTTGCAATTTTTGTTACATATAGTTTTTATGGTATTTATCGTATACTGTATTAATTATTTTTTAATGTTTTTCTTGAAATTAATTTTAGTTGTATATACGATTATAATAGATTTTGAGGCAAACTCTATTTTAAACGATGAATACCAAAAACATATTGGCAACGATCTACACTCAAAATACGGTTATGATTCGTATGATTCTTTAATTCTAAATAACTTATTACTGTATGTTTCACCTTGGTATAAAATATCTAATACTAATAAGTATTTATTTTTTTTAGTAATTTAGAACTTCTCGGATGGGTCTGTTGGTCCCTATATTCGATATCTTTACTTATATCTATGATATCTAGATGTGTTTATTACAGCAAACCATGGAAATTTGAATATTTATTAATAGTTTTTATTGGTGACATGTAACTATCATCCACAAATGTGCACGAGTCGATAGAAGCACACCAAATTCTTTAAGTTTCTTATTGAAAACATCTTAATACTATTTAAATTTAATACTTTATAATTTATATTCTTATATTCTTATGAGTAATGAAATTATAAGGTGTTAAAATTGATTTAATAGTTGTCGAGATATTTTGTTTTAATAATGTTAATAATGAAAATTTGGTGTATTTTTATTACACACTCCCACGTGTAAATCTATACCTTTTATTCATATTAAATCGAACGTTAATTAACTCATACTTTATAACTTTATAATAGACTTACAGCTTGTTTGAATATTCCATACACTTTTCCATATTTAAAAGATAAAATTTTGGGTCCTGACCATCAGATAATTTCATGTAATCATAATGAACCTTCTAATTCATGGCAAATTCATTGGTGTGCTCTTCATGATAAACTTGTTGTATTAGCATGGTTATCTATATTTGTGTGGTTTTTAGCATATCTAGTTTATTTATTTATTGTATTAGTAGTTATAAGCAAAAGAAGTTATAATTTTTTGAAATTATGGACTATTTATCAATATCAATACAGAAAAGGATTATTCTTAACTTGGTTAAAAGAACGAAAAGAAAGAAGTTCGAAACTAAAAAATGATGTATTTCCCGAAAAGCCTAAAGATTCGATTAAAAATAATATTTCGAACAATGAAAAAAAGGCTAATGATGTTAAAATAGCTGTAAGTGAATAAATAATATAATTCTCTTATTAAATTATTAAATAATTACCAGATAGTTTTAAGTAGTACATTTTATCAGTCATTTATATATTAGGCACATTTAAAAATAAAGCTTTAATAAATAATCTTATTTATTTATGAAACTATTTAAACTAGTCAAACTTTAAAAAGGCAACGAAAATATAAATAATCTTAACGATCAAAAACGTGTTAAGATTAGCAAACGACCCATCATTTCTCCACGGACGAAATTGCATTAAAAGATTTAAGAGTATAGTGTATAATAAATGTAATAAGCGTACACTACCAGTTCATGATACACGATTATTGTGCTTTTCAAATTTCTGTATTACACATCACGGGAAATTTGGAAATCGGAATCTATTAAATGCAAGCCTGTGATTGGCTAAAATTATATACTACGTAATTGTATTGTGTGTATTATGTATAAAATTAATGTTTTTCAAAAATTTTTTTTTTTTTTTTTAACATTTTGAACAAATTAATGACCAAGTTCTGATCGAAATTATAAGTTTGACCAAAATTAAATTTAATTGAGTTATTCCTAGTTAATTTTATATTCAATAAATTTTGAGTGATCGAACATTAATAAAAAATTTTGATCAAAAATTCGAATTTTCATTAAAACGAGAAAATTGTTAAATAGAGAATCGGATTTTTATCGTAGTTTTTTCATTTTAATAACATTACAGACTACAAACCTACATTTAGATCAAATATTCCAAAATTTGATTCTTCGTAATTGACCATAACTGTTCAGTACTGCATGACCATTTAATTCGAAAGAAGATTATAATTCTATTATATAAATGTTTCAGTTGTTCCTGCTAACGGAGTATGTCTTTTTCGGAAATTAATTATTTCATTTTTACAGAAGCTAGGGCAGAGTATCACCACCGAGTAAATATTAGTTAAAATAATTAAAAAATAATATTAAAAATCACGGTACTTTTATTTACAATATTTTATTATACATTTTAATCATTTGGTGGGGCAACATATCCAAATGGTTATATCTATTCTTCATTGTTTAATTTAATACTCTTATTATATCACTCTGAGATACTGCGACATAATTCAATTTATAACACCACAACTAGAGATGGTTTTCATGCGTGCGCATGATTCCTCAATCATGCGCATTTTATCCCATCTAAATTTTATATAGGAAAATTAAAGTATATTTAATTTAGGCCAAGGTGTATAATGCCAGGCAAATTAAGAAATAGGAATGTAGAAATTTTGAAAAATTCCGAAAAGAAAATGAATGAACATAAAGATGAGAAGGGTCGGGTAAAAAACTTTGGCAAATATCCGATATTTCCGGAGGAAAAATATAAAATAAAAAAAATTATATCATGCGATATCATGCGCATTTTATATAACGTGCGCATTAATGCGCATTTTTCCCATCTCTAGCCACAACATATTTAATACTGTGGACAAAAAAAAAACATACATACAACTAGGAATATAAAATTACAGTAATATAATAATCAAATAATCCGTATATATTATTAAAAACTATAAACATATTAAATAATTGATCCGGTTTTATAATGTAATCATCTCACTAAAGAATTTCTTATATCATTACTCATACCTAACCCTAACTGAAAAAATTGCCTGAGAAATGATTACAACCACTTATTATTCATTTATGCCATCATTAACTGAACTCATGTTCTTACAGTATGAATGCCTATATAATCATTATGAGGGATGAATCTAAGTATGGCAAAATAATTAAAATAGTGTCCAGATTTTTCCACACCCTTCTTTGATATTTCCACACCCATATATAAATCTTTTTTTTTTTTTTTTTAACATTGATCGAAAGTAACTCGACACCCACACAACCAAATTCGATGAAATTTTTTTAGATTACGAGATGATGCTTTATAAGGATCAAAGTTCTTATATTTATCGAATTTCAGTTAGCAAACTTTCACTATTCTCCTGTTATCATTTGTTATCTTTAATATAGATAATAAAAAATTTTGAAGCAACTAATAGGATTGTAAACCATTATCACTCGTGTAATTTTAAGTGGTAGAAAATCAATTTGTTTGCTGTCATTATCATTCTTGAAATGAGTTGGTGCCGATATGTTAGATGCCAAAATTTCTCTTCATTTCATCAGCATTTTTTTTATTCGTACATGAATTCAGTATTTTTTTAAAAAAAACTTCACAAACGTATTGTATAATGCAACTCTTCAATAATCAGTCTTTGTTTTGCTGAGCATTTTCCAACATTTATTAATAAATTCATTAATTACCTTTGGTACATTTTCTGGAATGCTTGGAGTAAGCCAGATTGATCGCACGTGCCAAATGAATATCATTGTAACATGTAAGCAATTAAAATCATTGGCAGAAAATTACATCATCTGTTATATGCGGTGCTAATGTTACACAGCCCAACTAGTTAATTACGTATACTGCACAGTACCGGAATGATGCATTTATATTTGTCTTACTTTTATTTTTTCGTAAAACAAGATGGAAAATGAAGATTTAACGGAAGAACGATTAGTTAAAGATATTACTCAACTGAATATCACTAATTATCAAAAATCAGCAGATATGAACGATTCGGATGAAATCTACAGGCTTGGCTATTGTTATGAATATGGGATTGATGTTGAAAAGGATGAAAATAAGGCATTCATTTATTATCAAAA